GATTCCCGAGTGATTCCTCATTGGCTTTGAGCAAACCTTTATAATGGGTGCATGAGTTAAGTTTGTTATATAACCCGACAAGTTATAGGACAGTTCTAACAGTGTGGGTGAGATGTTGTATCATTGCGATGTTCATAGTAATGGTTGTCGTTAGAGAAACTCCCTAGTAAAGTAAAGAGTAATTTTATTTTATTTCTAGTATACTTTTACATATAGTTCAGTGAGTTACCATATCTTTACTTGTGAAGTTTTAAATGATCTTATCTATATTTATGCTTTGCATTCAGCTGAGTATTATTTTAGTCTCTTCAGTTCAGTCATTTTACTTCACTATGTTACATACTCGTATATTTAATATATTGATCTCATTCGACCTACATCTTTTTATGATGCCGGTAAAGGTGTTTAAGATCATCAATACATGCTTCATTAAGAGCTTTTAGTGAGCCCTCCTTTCATTCTGGGGGACTCCATTTTGTCTTTCAGTTTAGTAGATTCAAGGAGTTGTGGGCTTGTACTGACATCCATGTTGAACTATAGATGCTCCAAAGATAGATAGTGTCGAGGATTCTTTCAGTATTTCCCTTTTGAACCATTTTTGCAAACTATTATTGCTTTCAGATTATCTGAGATAGTTGTACTTGAGAAGCTTTGAGACTATCAATTTAAATTTTGTTTTAAAGCGTATGTCTGCTTGATATAGTCTTCCTCTAAGTAGTCAGCCAGGACAAGGGTTCTCTTAGGGACCAGCAATAGTTCTCGAGTGTCAGGAACATCTAGGGTGTAGACTTGAAGCACGACAAACTTGGTATCAGAGCACAGAGTTCAAGTTTCATAGGGTTTCTATTAAGTCGTGTCTAGTAGAGTCCTTTTTATCAGTGTGATGCATGTCACATCTATAATAGGGAAGCTACAGGATATTAGGAGTTGTCTATTTTCTTCATACTCTTGTTCGTGCGATAGAGTTTAACTCTATGAGAGTTTCTTATAATTCATATTTATGTGTATCTTTCCAGATCATGCATCCATGAAGAACTGTTTGAGAGCTTCCTTCTAATCGAGGAATGAGAATTCAAGACGAACGAGAAGGTTCCAATGCACCAGTAGTGCAACCTCTTCAAGGTGACATCACAAATATTGTGTTTCAGAATGTCACCGAGATGTTAACTCAAGTTGTGACATCAGAGGTTGGTATCCAAGGAGCGGGCCATCCAAATATGGCTAATATGTCTAGAGTTTGAGAGTTTCTGAGAATGAACCCCCTTGAGTTCATTGGGTCAAAGGTCAATGAGGATCTACAAAACTTTATGGAAGAGATTCAAAAAGTATTTGAAGTCATGAATGTTGTTGATGCAGAGCGTGTGGAGTTCGCTTCATATCAGCTCAAGGGTGTTGCTAGGATCTAGTACGATCAGTGCAAGAAGACTAGGGGAGAAGATGCACCACTCTTAGGCTGGATGTTCTTCGAGAATCCATTCTTGGGGAGTTATTTTCCCTAGGAACTAAGAGAAGCAAAAGTGAGAGAGTTCCTCAACTGGAAGCAGGAGTCTATGAGTGTGCAAGAGTACATCCGCAAGTTCATTCAGCTATCTCACTATGCTCAGTGGCAAATATGAGGAGTAGAACGAGTTTGTTTGTGTTTGGACTATTATATTGAATAACGAGGGTAAGATTGTTATGTTGATAGGGGACATAGAGATAGCTAGGCTTATGATTCATGTTCATCGGGTGGAGGAAGATATTTTGAAGGACATAGAGGAGTTTCACAACAAGAGGGCCAAGAAAGAAAACCATGAATCTGGCCAACTGAAGACTGGGAATAGGAACCGTTCATGTTCTCAAAAAAGGTCGTATGGAACTGCCCCATCATCCACCAGTGCACCTTCACCACGGAACGAAAATGATTGCCAGAATTAGAATTTCTAGAATTTAAGGCCCAATTACTCAGTCTCAAGGTAGTGTGGTACAAGGGGCTACTTGGACCCCTACTTGTACTAAGTGTGGCAAAACCACCCAAGAGAATGTCGTAATGGCTCAAATGGCTACTTTTATTGTGGTAAGACGGGTCACTTTATGAAAGACTTCCCAAAGGGGAAGCAAGGTAATGGGGGCAATAAGGCCCAGTCTTCTTTAGCACCTCCAGCAGACATGGCTGCTCCAAGGGGAATAGGAACATGCGGAGGTATAAACCATTCGTATGTGATGTCTAGTCGCTAGAATAAGGAGAACTCGCCAGATGTTGTCACTAATATGCTCAAAGTGTTTTCTGTTGATGTTTTATGCCTTGCTTGATCCAAGTGCGAGTTTATCCTTTGTAAATCCTTACGTATCCATGAGGTTCAAGACTTTCCCCAAACAACTTTTTGAACCTTTCGGTGTTTGTAAACCTACTGCTAAGTCTATTCTAGCAAAAAGAGTCTATAGAAATTGTACCATCTCGGTCTATCATAAACACATCATGGATGATTTAGTTGAATTAAACATGGTGGATTTTGATGTCGTTCTAGGTATGGATTGGATTATGATTGTTATGCCTCAGTCGATTGTAGAACTCGAGTAGTCAAATTTCAGTTCCCTCATGACTCAGTTTTAGAGTTGAGGAGTAATTCAGCAGTCCCTAAGAGTCATTTGATCTCATACCTTAAGCCCAAAAATGTAGTCTCTAAGGGGTGCATCTATCACTTAGTCTGAGTTACTGACTCTAGTGTTGAGAAACCACCTCTTAAGTCATCCCCATTTGTGAGTGAGTTCCTAGAGGCCTTTCCAGACGATCTTCTCGGAGTCCCTCCTGAAAGGGAAATAGACTTCAGAATAAATATCCTTCCAAATACTTGTAACATCTTTATTCGTTCATATAGAATGGCTCCAGCTAAGTTAAAAGAGTAATTGAGAGATCTTCTTGATAAGGTTCTTATCTGACCAAGTGTCCCACCTTAGGGCGCTCCGGTCTTATTCATGAGAAAGAAAGATGGTTCCTTATAATGTGTATTGATTACCATCATTTGAAAAAGGCCATCGTAAAGAATAAGTATCCCCTTCCTAGAATTCATGACCTTTTCGACCAAATTCAGGGTGCCACTTGCTTCTCGAAGATAGACCTCAGCTCAGGCTATCATCACTTGAAAGTGAAAGAAAGTGATATCCCGAAGACAACATTCATGACCCATTACGGTCATTATGAGTTCTTTGTTATGTCATTTGGTTTGATTAACGCTCATGGAGCATTCATGGATCTCATCAATAGAGTATTTAAGGAATTTCTAGATATGTTTGTTATCGTATTCATCGACAACATCCTGATCTACTCGAGGAATGAGGAGGATCATGTAGTCATCTCAGAATAGTCCTCCAAACTCTCAAAGATCGAGAGTTATATACCAAGTTTTCTAAGTATGAGTTCTAGCTTGAATCTGTGGCGTTCTTAGGCCATATCATGTCTGGCAAAGAAATTCAAGTCGACACTTAGAAGATTGAGGCAGTGCGGAATTGACCCAGACCCACCATCCCCAACTGATATAAGGAGTTTATTGGGGTTGGCAGCTTACTACAAAAGGTTCATCGATGGGTTTTCATCTATTTTATCCCTATTGACTAAGTTGACTCAAAAGAAAATAACTAAGTTTAAATGGTCTAAAGCTTGTGAGAAAAGCTTTCAAAAATTGAAAACTCGGTTAGCTACTACTCTAGTGTTGACCCTACCAAAGGGTACAAAGGGTTTTGTCGTCTACTATGATGCATCTAAAGTAGGGATTGGTTGTATGTTGTTGCATAATGGTAAGCTTATAGCCTATGTCTCTAGGAGCATTGAGTTATATATTTTGGGAGTAGTATTGAGCACGGATATGGGGAAGAGGTCTGACAACTCACATTCTCCATAAACCAGTGTGGGTTACGATCACACTGACTTCCGGGAGACTCCTCGCTGCCTTTTAGCAGAACATTATAGTAGATCCATGAGTTGAGTTTGTTCTATACCCCGACAAGGTATAGGATAGTTCTGGCAGCGTGGCAGCGTGGGCGAGACGTTGCATCATCATGAGGCTCATAGTGATGGTTGTCGATTAAAGAAACGCCCTACTAAAGTAAAGAGTACTTTTATTTTATTTCTATTATACTTTTACATACAGTTCAATGAGTTTTCATATCTTTACTTGTGAAGTTTTAAATGATCTTATCTCTGTTTATGCTTTGCATTCAGCAGAGAATTATTTTAGTCTCTTCAGTTCAATTATTTCGCTTCGGTTATATTACATACTTGTATATTTAATGTACTGATGTCATTCGACTTGCATCTTCTAATGATGCATATACAGGTGTTCAGGATCATCAACATACGCTACATTGAGATCACTTGCACTCCTAGACAGCTTTTGGTGAGCCCTCCTTGCATTCCGGGGTCTCCATTTTGTCTTTCAGTTTAGTAGTTTTGAGGTATCGTGAGTCTTGTCCCGACATCCATATTGAACTATAGAGGCGTCATAGATAGACAGTGTAGAGGATTCTTTCAGTATTTCCTTTCCGAACCATTTTTGCAAACTATTGTTGTTTTCAAACTATTTGAGATAGTTTCAGTTGAGAAGTTTTGAGACTATTAATTTAAATTATGTTTTAAAGCTTATATATGCTTGAGTCAGTCAGGCGAAGGGTTCGCTTGGGAACCAACAATGGTTCTCGAGTGTCAACCACGTCCAGGATATAGGCTCAGGGAATGACACATTATATATTGGTAGGCATCATACCCAATGTAATCTCACATAGTGGGATCTGTTAGTATGGGAGAGTAATGTGTACGCAGACCTTATCTCTACCTTAGTGGTCATGTAGAAAGATTGTTTTCAATGGATCCCCGCTCAAGACAGAGACAAACTAGGAAAAGACATATTGGAAGTATAATGCACAATCTATAGTAACAAAACAACATATAGTAACATTACAATACAATAATAAAATAATACTACAAATAAAATACATGAACTGATAGATAGTCGCATAAAACGAAATAATAGATAGTCACAGAGCCTAAAGAATATGTACTTAATTTATTATGAGGATACAGAGAGAATGAAATACTTTTGAGAAATCTTCATTGTTATTACTGTCTTACCAAATTTACTTGTTTTGAGAGAAATGACTTAGTAGATAAGAAAAATATTGGGTCAAAGCAAATTCCTGTGGATATCAATGTTCAACCCCTTTCATCACCACTCCACATGTCCTTAAACTTTGGACCTATTGGTCCTTCCTCACCCAAAACCTCATTTGGTAGATCTCTCACTATTTTCTCAATAGCTTTCTTCAGTTTCCCAATCATAAATCTTTCTACTTTCCTCAGCTCTTTTGATATATCATAGCTAATTTTTGGACCCCATTCCCTTCCATAATTAAGCCATACTGGCTCCACTATTGTTGAACCCAAGTATTCTGCTGCTACTACTAAGAAGTTTGTTCCTATGTCCTTCAACTTCCCCTTTCCTGTATCATTTCTGATTCCTACATCTCCACTCCCTTGCAAATTCTTTCCTGGTTCTGGATAAGCAGCGTGTCCATGCAGCGATGAGTACACCACGGGTTTGTTACCGTTTTGAAATTCTAGCTGAGAGGCACGTACCCAAATCCCTCCACTGTGTTGTGAAAAGTATATACCTTGTAACTCCCCATTGAAGTTGCTAATCCTCAATGTAACATGTTCCCAATCGCCAACGTGCTCTCCAATTTTCCCCAAGGAAATGGTCATGAATTCGAGTTTAGCCTTTGCAGGTCCATTGAACGGATAAAATAGCCACACAGCAATATCAGTATATGTTGCACCAAACATTGGTTTAACGTGTAAGTAGGCTGTGGCACCCTGTAAATCTCCGTTCTTGACATTAGTTTTCGCAGCATCATCAATCGGGAGGTCCAGCCAGTAAGCACCATCGTTCGAACCATCTTGAGGAAGATTTGAACCTGTGGGATGAATACCTACAGGTGAAGATTCTTGTCCTTTGGTATATAATAATGCTCCATTCTGAAAAAACCAAGTCACTGATGAGGGATAGTATTCTTCATCAGGATGAAAATAAATCAGCGGAGAGTATGCTTGAACCAATGCCTTAACTTGTTTCAAATTTGGCATCGCAGATATATCAGATTTAACATTCTTTAAACAAGCTAATGACTCTGCAGCTCCATTGTTCTGAACCATAAAAGCACCTGTTGCCACTCCTAAAGCTCGCACTCCTCTGTCTCTAGGTCTCGATGAGTACACATTCAAGCCATTGGCGCCCCAAATCCAATCATGACTTTCACATACATCAGTGAGATCATCACGAACACAACGGACTTTATCCAGAGAAGGCTTCTGAGGCGAGGTCGAGACAATATGGCCTATGGCTTTATAACCCTCAGGAGGTATTGGCAGCCAGATATAGCCGACACCATCCTGCTTGATTTTCAAGTTCTGACTACTCCATACAAGGGTGTAGTCAATTGGCATCTTCAGCGTACCTCGTGATGTATCTCTCCCAGCAAGAGTCCATCCAAAAAGGGGAATATTATTTGGTTGGGTATAGGAACCAAACATAAAGAAACCATTTGGTATATTTGATGGTTCAAAGAATGTAGCTCCAAGATTATCTGGTCCACCTTCATGGATAGACCAAACTTTAGTTAAGGATGATATTTGAGACACTTGTAATCCTCCAAGATCAATGAATCCACTTGCAAAGCATCCACCTGAAATTATTGGACATGAACTGGAGGACAATTAACAAGTGATTCAACTACTAATCATGAGAAAGGATTACAAGATTGAATTTGAGAAAGTATGTACCTACCTGAAGGCCAAGTGGGCAATGGAGAAGGAAGGCGAAAGGCATTATCAATAGAGAGTGACATGATGTTCTTTGTTGAAGCAATATTATCCACCAAAAATGTTGCATTTAAGTTGCCTCCTCCCATGGTTGAATTTGAACAACTGATTCTTAAAGCAAGTGCTAACACTAAAATAATACAAGAGATAACCATATCCTGCAGTTGAGACAACGTAAAGAGATACTTATACTAAAATTTCCAAACATCAGCTAAGACGTACAAGGGATCGGAGAGCTAAATCTCAACAGTATTTAAATTAAGAAACAATATCTCTGCTTCACTTTTTTGCAGTTACAATTAGCATATTTAACAACTAGAGAAATATTCAAAAGGTGCACAAATTCCACTACTAAATGCAAAGTAGCATAACACAAAAGGTCATTAGTCATTACTTATTACCAATTTACTAATATGCAAAGTTAAATTGACTAACAGCAACAGTATGGCATTGGATAACTTTTTGTTGAGTCTTCAAGTTAGGTTGTTGGATTACTTAAAGCTAATATTTAAAATTCGTACGTCATATTCTTTTAAAGTTGGAAGCATGAAACGGTAATAACAATAAACACATTATGCTTCTTCCTTTTTTGGACAAGATAATCAATAATATACACTAGCGTGTGGTTATGTCAATAACTTTGTAACAATTCTTTTGTCATACTTACTTCATCACTCGTTTACTCATTATATATATACTCTCCTTTCCTTCTTTCAAATTTAGCTTTACACCACTCAACTTAACTAATTTTCGGAGTTAAATTGAATTAAAATAATTCAATATTTTAAATTTAAAAGATTGAAAATTATATAAAAAATAGTATAAGTTACTATTTTTCTCATGTCAATATGATGAAAAATAGATCTGAAAAATGTTGGTTAAAATTTATATAGTTTAACTCTTGAGAAGCGACTAGGGGTGTCAAATGGGCGGGTTGGGTTGAAATTGGAGATATTAAAATGGGTTGAAATTGAAATTAAGTTGGGTTCTGACCCGCTCAAGTTTACTTTGGAATCAAATGGGTTGGGTCTTGACCCGCCCAATTTGACCCGCTTAATCTCAATAATTTTAGAAATAATTACAGAAATCCCACACTTTAGTTTACTTATTACCATTATCCCCTATAAGTTTTACAAATCTCCAAAATTCCTCATTTTCGCGCATTAGATTAGTGTATCTCGCGCATTAGATTAGTGTATCTCGCGCATCAGATTAGTGTATCATGTATAAAATGTACATCAGATTAGTGTATCATGTATAAAATGTAATGTATCTTACTTAACGATTAATGTATCTCGCGCATCAGATTAATGTATCAGCGCTTATATTATTGTATCTCGTGCATCAGATTAATGTATCAACACTTCTATTATTGTATCCGTTTGAGGAATTTCTATAATCATAAACTTTTAAGGGATAGATTGTAATTTTGCCTTAAAAGTATGTGATTTCTATAATTAGCCCATAATTTTAATATATTCTTCTTTAAGTTTATAAACACTGACTTTCAACTCAAGATTTTGTTTTTAAAAAAAAGTTACAAATTGATAGATAAATCTTAAAAGATATAAAATAAATAGTAATTCATACCTTTAATATAGGAAAATACATTACTTCAATGCAAATAAAGAGTCTTAACATGGGTTGAAATTAGAGATTAAATTAGATTCAATTGAAGATTCTCTTAAAATGGGTTATGACTTGAATGGATTGAGATTGAACTCAATTCGAATTATCTTAAGCCCATCCTTTAGAGGGTGTTTGGATTGACTTAAAAGTTAATTAAATCTCATTTTAAGTCAGTTTTTGACTTCTGAAAGTGTTTGACAAATTTAAAAAGTAACTTAAAATAAGTTTAAAATGACTTAAAATAAGTTAGGAAGTGTTTGACAAGGTAAAAAATGACTTAAAATAAATCAGAAACAAAAAGTAGATTTCCCCTACTTTTATTTTTTGATTTAAAAGTCATTTAAGTTTGACTTTTTATTTTTTACTTAAAAACTATTATTTTTAAGCAAATCCAAGTGGGCTCTTAAAAATATGAACGAATTGAGTGAATTGCCTATAATTGGGATCAATTTTGATACCTCTAGAAGCCACTAATAAAAGGAAAAATTGAATGAAATAGCAAACTATTAATTCAAATTAAATGTTATAGTCATAGTTTATTTTATTTGTAATTCGTAGCAAACATCCCATTTTTTTCCATCTGATTCGGTATACAATTAGCCATTTTCAATATACAATTACCCATTCGGTATACAAATGTACAAAATGTGTTTGTGTTTGCATAAAGCGAGAGAAAAATGTATATACAAATACATATATTTTCGTCATATATACACTTATAATTATACAAATATAAATTTTATCATACAAATTACAATGTATAAAAAACTAAACAATTTGTATAAAATTGGATGTATCTAGCGAATTATACAAATCAAAAGCTCCATAACAAACATAAAATTTGCTATGGAGCGCAATTATGCAAACTATAGCTATAACATATAAATATAATTTTTATATTTGCTATATGTGAAAGTTGTTCTTAGTAAAATGAAAGAAAGGGAGTATTATTTTCTCCATCTCTTTTATAAAACCTTATATTTTACTTATTCATACCAAATTTTCTTTTGAAATTAATGTTAAATCAGTTTTAAAAAAAATGATTTCCACAAGTTACTCTTTTTTTTTAAAAAAACAATATGGAAATATACGAAACAAGAAAATATCTAAGAAAGCCACAAAAAAAGTTTGTTGCTATCCACTTTTCGGACCTGTGGTCAAATTTAGTCATCTTTTGATATGCAATTGAAAATAACTATTTTTATGCAACAACAAATAATAGGAATAATATTATTATATTATTTTTTGAATATATTAAATTTAATGTTTCGAAAATATATCAAATATAATAATATTTTATAGTAAGGATAATATATAAATTACCTCTTAGTTTTTCAAACTGAATAAATATTACTCCCTTCGTCTCATTTTATATGTCATATTTTTACTTTGCACTTATATTAAGAAATAATGAAATTTTACTCTTATGTCCTTATTTAATTTTTTTGGAATCAAGCTTTCAATCAATGAATATGAAAATATTTATTTTGATTAATTAATTTAACCAATGAACATGAATCATTTACTTAGCTTTTCTAAGTTAGTCAAATGTATATTTTCAAGGCTAATAACTCACAAGGGTAAAAGAGGAAGAATATGGTAATTTATGCATTGATTTTATGAAATAATAAGTATTATGGACCAATTATATATAGAAAGGGATAACATATAAAATGAGACGAAGGAAATATTGAACAACTATTTTTAGTATATGAACCAGTAAAGATGAACTAAAAGAGTATGAATTAGCAGTCTAAAAAAAGGGTTTTTTTCCAAAGCAATGGAGATGTGGGATTTAAAATCATAAATTTGCACATTTTTTCAAAAAAAATGGATTGCTCTCTAATTTCTGCTTTATTTAATGGGACATAAATTCTTTAGCAATTAAAGTCATATCCAAGCATAATTTATGCAAATATTATAATTAAAAAAAATATAAACTTAAGCCTAGTAAACTAAAGAGCAGCACAAAATATAGAGACAAAAAGTATAAGCCCATCAATCGTGATTGAGCAGTGTGCTCATCCTGAGGGCATGGAATGTCCTAAAAAAGGGTGGAGCTGAAGGATAACATTAACATCACTATTACTTCCGTCAATCGAAAATGAAAATTATTCTGTTTATACTATGGTTGCATTTAATCAAATTACACTGATATTTTTCATTTTTTGAGAGTTAACTAGTTTGTTAGAATCTATCTATGAAATTTTCAATTTTTTTTAAATGAAATTTATATATTTATAAACTAGATGAAAGTATATAAATCATAATAATTGATAATTTAAAATATTTAAAAAATATATGAAAAAATTACATAAAAAATAGACTTGTTTAAATTTCAAAATCTGAAGAGTGTAAGGTAGATTGAGTATTAATTAATTAATGTGAAAAGCAATGTATATGCGATGATATGAATCCATTTATAGAAGAAAAGATTGGATGTGTATTATTTACCTGGATAAGGTATGCCATGGCCACCGGCGTCCGGCGAGATCTCTCACACAATACAAGATTTGAGCTACATTTGTAGTTTCATCTGCAGGTGTTGTGATTAAGTTAATGAAAAAAGAAGGGGGTAATATGGGATTATACCCTTTTCAGAGCACGTAAAGCTGATTTTGGGGAAGGTTTTGTTGCTTATCATTCTCAGCTTTGCATTCTATTAATCAATTCAACATCTTGTCTGCCCCTGTCCTCTTATTATTATAATAATAATAATAATAATCTATACGGCTAATGCCTTTTTACTTTTTAACCTTTAATATGGGATTATACCTTTTTACTGTTGTTTGGATCAGTTTTTGAGTAGTTGATTAATTTTATCGGGAAAATGCATAGATTTCCTCTTAAATTTGTCCCGAAAAATCAGTTACACGTTTAAACTATTATGACGACTTATTACACACATTTACACGTCCCATGAGGTAAATAAATTCACTTTTAAATAGTAAAAGTGTGTAATAGATCGTCATAATAGTTTAAGCGTGTAACTGACTTTTCAGAACAAGTTCAGGAAGGAATCTATGCATTTTCCCTAATTTTATCAATACATATCATCTTTTATCGTGGAGAGACTAGGATATCTAGTATTTTAAATTTTCGTTGAACCAAAAATTTCATTGCTCTCACCCAATTCATTGTTCACTAATTAAAATCAAACAAAATAATGTACGTGAATCGTGAGCTAATATGACCAGTTAAATTCAATTATCTATAATATAATAGTACTCTTTAAGTTGTCAACATGTTTAAGTTGTACCCTTGAATTAAACAACATAATTACTTGTGTTTTTACCCCATATGTTTAAATTTATGTTAACCTATTTGATTGGGCACGTAACGCTTTTTGAAAAAAAAAAGATTTTGAAATTTATAGCCATGTTATGTTATTATGAAATATTATCTTTATTAATAAAAATAAGACGTTAAAATTAAATTCATTTCAAATTTAGAAAAATAAATATTTTCGAAATAAAATAGAAAGAATGTGCTCGTGGAATAAATTTGAAAGAATGTGCTTGTGGCATTAAAAGACATT